GGCCTGAACCCCTCTGCTGCTGAGAGCCTGATGCTTGTGAACCCTCACCTAGGCTTGACTGTCCCTGGAACTACTGTGGTGGAGCTCTAGGTGGCCTACTAGAATATTAGGGTCTGGGAGCACCCTAAAAATCTCCCGGTGAACCAGCAGGCCTATTCTTTTTTTGTCTCTCTATTGACCCTCTCACTCATATAATGTAGATGTCGGCGATCCTCTATTACTTGTGCAAAGGCCAGAATTCGCAAGATATCCATATTATCATTTAGTGCAGCGGTAGAACAAGTGCCGATATAGTCTGAGTCAAGCCCTCCCACAAATCTACGCACCCTATCGTGCATCGTATCAACAAATGTTGGTGCATATCTAGCCAATGAATCAAATCTCAGCATGTACACTCAGACACTCATGTTGTTGTTATACCCCATTTTAACTCAAAGTCAAAATGTGTACAACATATTGGTGATTTCCAAATTATTCACAAACTTGAGAAGTCGCCACCTAATTATTATGGTGAATTAGGGCACCTATAACGATTAAAGTCTATCGTCTAAAGTTAACTTCATTTTAAGGTATGCTAAACATGAGATTCTAGGTAAGAGTTGTAGTTATCCTAAAGGGAAGGGGTAAGTCATCTTTTAAGATTCGTTAAAGACGGTTACCGGTCAAACTTAGGTTAATTAATTAAACTAAAAATTAGTGCTAAAGAATTTGAAAAAATCATAAGTTGGAAAACATTTTAACATTAAAAAAAAACTCTTTTATATTTTGAAAGAATTAACTTGCATTTTTCTTTTTTGAAAACAATAGATAATCACTTGTTAAGAATGACAATTGTTTGTACAAAATTTGATACCAAAATGTATACTAAAGAAATATGTTTGTCCATGAAGTTAATATGCATGCCTTTAAAAAGCATTGTTTACACCTTGAAATCGATAACACATTCTACACTTGAAAGACTCTTTCGACTTTAAAAAAAATGACAGAGCTTTTCTAAAACAAAATCATTTGTTTAAAGTAACTTTATTTTATTCAAAATTTATTGCTAAAGATCTGAAAATAATAATGATAAAAATATTTGTTTTTTGCAGAAGCATTGTAAGGAATTAAAAACTCCTTTAAGACATTTGTTGTCAAAAAAAAAAAAATCATTGAAAAGTTTACCGATGTCAAAATTTATTGCTAAAGATCTGAAAATAATAATGATAAAAATATTTGTTTTTTGCAGAAGCATTGTAAGGAATTAAAAACTCCTTTAAGACATTTGTTGTCAAAAAAAAAAAATCAATGAAAAGCTTACCAATTTTCAACCAAAGAAAAACTTAAAAGCCTAATGGAGACATTTGACATCCTTAAAAGTTCTTTCTTTTTTATGACCGACACTAAAGACTTGCAAAAACCAAAAAAAAAAACTCTCTGTTAACGAAAAAATAACCCACGACAAGCAATCAAGGAGCAACAAATATCACATGACAAATGCTCACAAATGTCACTTAAGGTAAAGCGAACAAAAGATGACTAAAAATTATAAAAGAACACTTTTCCAGATTTCCTTGTTGGATGAGTTTTGAGGATGTAAGAGGCACAAAAATGTGAGAGGATGTCGTTTTTAATGTCTAATGGCGGTGAGAGTCTTTCATGAAGACTCCATGTAGCTCCTATTGCGGGGTAATGAATGGACGCTTGCGGTCGCCAAATCACACTCAAACTCAACTACGCTTAGGTTCGAGATTTTCGCAAAGAGAGTTGAATACTTTGAGCTTTTAGAAAATCAAATTAATGCAAAGGAAAACTAAAGTTTCAAGAGAAGAAGTCGTCATTCGCTGTGCAGGGATGAAGAAAATTTATTAAGAAAATTTCCGCAAACAAAAATCGTCTACCCCAAAATGATTGAAAGAGCAAGTATTTTTTCAAAACTTAAAGCTTCTAGGCTTAGCATTTGGGCGGGATTTTTTCCAGAATAGAGTCAAGAGACCCGTTTGAATTTGAACGTTGCGATTTGGATGGGCTTGGTCCTTCATGTGATTGACAAGATTGTATCACGAAAATAGGGTAGCTAAACTCGGCTCTATGATTAAAGAATAGTGGAGTTTGTTGAAAAGAGGAAAAGGATAGAAAGTAGAGGAAGAGGCGGAGGTGATCTGCTGCTACGCTTGCTACTGTAGGGTTTAAAAAGAAGTTTAGGCTGGTGCTAAATTTTCTTTGTGGGCTGATCTGAAAGTTCCGTTGGGCCATATTTTGGAGCGGATTTGGGCTCGTTTTTCTGGCCAATTTTGGGCTGAATTGGAAGGTCTTTTCTCTTCTTTCTTTGTATTATTTTGGGCTTCTAACTTAATAATTAATACAATATATATTATGATATGATAACAACTAAAAATTTACATGATAAAAATATCGCTAATATATATACAAAATATTGACTTATAATTAACTTAATAAGTACGAAACTAGAAATAAGGTGACGACAATTGATTATTTAAGAAAAGAGGTGTAAAAAGTGATAATAATCATTTCAACAATAAAACCTATAATTTTAGTAGATAAATAGTCGTAATAGTAAAAATAGTTGTGAAAAAGTTCATTTGATACATTATTAATTTAGAAGCTCGAAAATGATAAATTAGAAGAAAGGAGGGTCAAAATTGGGTGTCAACAACTTGTCCCTCTTTGACCAAAGATGATGTAAGAGTTTTTGGGCAAAGAAGTTGACGTAGAAGCCAATTTTGTCCCGAACAACAAATACGACCTTAGGAGAGCATGAGACAATATGAGCATGGGATAACTGATGAGGTAGAGGATTTTGAGAACAACGTAGTCGCAAGCTTACAACAGTTTCCCCAATATTGAATTATGATGTTACTAGGTATTGTGATCGAGAAGAGTATTTGGGAGTGGAGTCGAGCAGAGTTCGAGGTGGACCTTTGATCTTTGTTGGAAAGCTAAACTTTCCCAAAAAATTGCCCCAGTTCACTGCTTAGATAAGGTTCCACATTGCATTGTGTCCCTTGTTGCTGCATGTAGATTGTGCTTTCTGCCAAATCTTTACAAAATTGTTAGGAAATTATATAAAGCTTGAAATATATATAAAAAAAACATCTTATGAAAAATGTCATAAGAAAGATGCGTCATTTCTGAATTAATATTCAAGATGCGATTAATAGAGTATATTGCATTTTCTTGAATCATAAATAATTGCTTCAGATTATGCGGCTGCAAAGTCTCGTTAGTAAAAGAGACATATATATATGTAACTTAATTTTTCAAGAAATTTAAAATGCTTGCAGTGCATAATAAAAATAATTAAGACATTGCGCAATATCTCCTTAGAGACTGCTAAGCTTTCAAGAAATTTAAAAGATAGCATGCATTGCTCATATGTATAAAATGAATAATTAAGGCATTACAAGATGTCTCATTAGAGACTAATATGCTTTTCAAGAAATTTAAAAGATAGCATGCAGTGCATATCTATATTTAAAAATAAATAAATAATTAGAGCATTGCGAGATGCCTCATTAGACACAGATGAGATTAAAATGTCTTATTGGAGGGCAGACTAACCCAACATGTCCTATTTGAGGGCAGTTGAACTCGATATCTTCTATTTTAGGGTGAATGAACCCAAAGTATCCTATTTTAGGGTGGAAGGACCCAATGTATCCTATTTTACGGTGGAAGAACCCAATGTATCCTATTTTAGGGTGGAAGAACCCGATATATCCTATTTTAGGGTGGAAGAACCTGTTATATCCTATTAGAGGGTGGAAGAACCCGATATATCCTATTTTAGGGTGGAAGAACCTGATATATCTTATTTTCAGGTGGAAGAACCCGATATATCCTTTTAGAGGGCGGAAGAACCCGATGTATCCTATTAGAGGGTGGAAAAACCCGATATATCCTATTGGAGGGTGGAAGAACCCGATGTATCCTATTTGAGGGTCGAAGAATCCAATATGTCCTATTTTAGGGTGGACTAACCCAATATATGGTATTTGAGGGTGGTAGAACTCGATATATCCTATTAGAGGGTGGAAAACCCCAACATATCCTATTAGAGGGTGGAAGAACCCGATATATCCTATTAGAGGGTGGAAAAAGCCAATATGCGGTGCAAACTTACAAATATAAATTTTGGTGCAATGCGATGAGCTTGGTGCGATTTCTTTGCGGTAACAAACATTCAGAATCTAGTATGAAGAACTTGTTGCAGTGCCTTTGCAGTATTGAATAATTAAGGTACGGTGCCTAGTGCAATACTTCGCAATAATGCATATGTTGCCCATAACTTAGGAGCTTCAATTTCAATGAAAGTTTGCTGCTTATAAATTCTGCACTCAAAGAAAAATTATGAATTTCAAATTTGATTCTAGTTGATGTTGCACCATCTGAATCTTGCAAATTTTGTCTTGATGTTGAGCCTTGTGGTGTTATCATTCAAGGATAACAAAAATTCAACCTCTACATTACTCAAAGAAAACTTGTTAGTATAAAAGAAAATGGCCTTGCATTGAACCATGAAGCTTTTGCTTTGAATCTGCATTTCTTGTTGCTATGGCATTGAAGCGACTTGATGATGTGGATATGGCTTGTGATCTCAACTTCTGCCTTTTCAAATAATTATAGGCCATCTATAAAGTTGTCCCAGTCTTTTCTCTTGGGAGAGAATGGAATTTTATTATGTTGAGATCGAACCCAGAATAGGCGCCTACTTATCCCGCTATTAACAGGAATCAGGTCATACATAGTTCATTACAAAAGGGTAGAAAGGATTGTAAAAGGGTATATATTTCTTAAAAAGGAAAAGTTGCAGAGATAATGTCTTTGTTAGTCTTCTTGACTAGTTGCATGCTTTCTTTTCAACTGCTTTGGTGCCAATTTCAATGGATCACCCTTAACAACAATTGTGCTTATGATATTGCCATTACTGGTTGAAGGATATATTTGTAGCTTTATCTTGCCACTTTCAATCATGCTTTGAATCTTGAATTTTATGGCAGGACAACCTTCTGTATCATGTCCCTGAATGTTCGAGTGGTAAGCACAATTCTTGGTGGATCAAAGTGTTTAGGTGTATACTCAGGAATGAATCCTTTTCTTGATTGCAGATGCCCATTTGCTCTCAATCTCTCAAATAGATGCATATGGCTCAACCAAAGGAGTGAAGGAGAAATGTTTCACCTTCTTCTGGTGGTCACAAGCTAGATTGTGTTTGGTGCAACTGTTGTTTGCAAGGATGGTGGAGACGTGCATTGCAGTAGTTGGAAGTAGCATGAGATTGCAAAAATTGATCACTTGGATAGCATTGCAGCTGTTCCATAGTCATGAAAATTGGGTTGTTTTCTCTCATCAGATTTACAAGTATTTTCGCTTGGAAGGTTTGTTGGACAACTTTTGTTGCTGAGTTGCTTACAATTCTTCCTCCTTGAATATTATTTTCTATAACATCTCGCACCTAGAAACGACTATAAAGAGTTTAAAATATGAAAATATTGATTTTTGGAAAGAATAAGGAAAGCTGAAAATTTTGTCTAAGTTAAGAAAGTGAGTTTTGGCCATTTTCAAACGGCCATAACTCCTAGCTCAGGATGAGTTAGGAGCAGATCTTGATATGGTTGGAAATCCCTTGTAGAGATCTTTCCAACGCAGCCAAGTTTGTGCGATTTTGACAACGTATGAGTGAGTTATGCCCTTCAGAAGTTGGGCTGTTGGATTGAGGAAAGTCCAAATCTGGATTTAAGGAAGGGCAAACTAGTCTTTTCTCTAATTAATTTCCTAATTTATTTTTAGGGGTTTATTGGGGTAAAAACAGAACTTAATTCAGTTTTGGAAATTAGAATACGCTTAGGGCTTGGAGAAAAGAGAAAAGAAGAAAGGGAGAAAAGCCAAGATTTCGCCAAGAACGTCAAGCGTTTGGAGTGGAATTCGTCGGGCACGTCCCCTGTAAAAGTATGTGAGATCTTTTCGTGTTGGGTTAGTTCACCCACACACCACTTGTTTCAATTCAGTGATTTGGTGTTGTTTACTTGTTAAGAAGTGAAGTTCTTGAAGAACATTGTTGAATTCTTGTTGGTTGATTGTGATTGCCTATTGTTGATTTAACTCGTGTTTTCGGGTTGTTTTTCGAGTTAAATCTATTGGGTATTGAGGGTACTAATGTGTAACGACCCGAGAGCACCCCCTAGTCGTAACATGGCGTACTCGACCCCGAATGGATCTCATACAAGCCACATAGTCATTCATTGCATTCAATAATGAAAATGGTGCAGAAGCAAAAACTAATTTAAAACCCAAACATTCAAACTTCATTAAAACAACTTTAAAAAGACATAGCGGAAGTCTAAGTCTCACATGGCCATCTTAGACACAATCTCAAAACATAATTAGGGACACAACCCCTTACAATCAAAACAATAACTAAAAGTGTCCATTACATGAACAAAAGAAACTTAAAAGTCTTGTCCTCGAATCCATGAGGACATACTAAGTCTTGGAGGAAGGCAATCCAACACTTCAAACTAGCTAGGAGGAATCACTTGCCGGAACCTACACTTGTAGTAAAAATATGAAGAATATGGATTAGTACACAGAAATGTACTAAGTATGATGACTATGCAAAACATGCCTAAAAAAGGACTTTTTGGTTAGAAACCATGCATTATGCCACTTTTCGAAATATCATGAACAATTGCATAAAAGACATACAAGACAAGCCTAATCATCATATAAGTCACAATACCACACTTTAACAATATCAACATGAAAACCTTCACCTTTACCTTGGACCTTCACCTCAAGCAACCCTTATGCTATACCTTGTGCAATGGATGGATAGCGTCCCATACCACCATCCATACTAGTACCACATTTAGGTCACCTAAAGTAAACTCATCATTCCTTTCTTTTCACCTTTGCACAATATTCATACAAAAGCGATATATCATTTAATAAGGTATAACAAGGGAAAATAATTCATAATATAACCCAAGTATAGCATGCATAACAAATTAAGCATTTGAGAGCCAACATTCTTTAATAACCTTATCTAGGGCACATTCATGTCACAGTCATTAGGATTTAGAGAAACTCACTATGACCCTCTCCAAGCCTACTCGTGCAATGTATAGGTAGCATCCCATACTACTACCTACACTTCGTAGAACCTGTCAAGAAACCATAATGAAATCTCACATGATGGGAAGTAAGCATTAACCGACATAGACCATGAGAGCTTGTCATGGAATCCGGTGTCATAAGTCCCCACACCGTAAAGAGGTGGTCTACTTGCCTAAGGAAGACCGGTATATAGCTTAATGGATCCACTAGCTACCTATGCGGGCACATAGTTTATGGGATAAGGTAGACGATCATTGAAACTCATGCCTAACCATTGGGGGAGTTTCCATCTAACCAAATCCGCTCGGTGCTTAGCCTACATTCCCATAGAATAGTTCATTACTTTGACATCATCACACATGAAAGGGTGCCATAAGCCTACCGATTCAAGGTACATTTAGGAAAGCTCATTAACTCCACTTGAAAGGGTGCCATGGGCCTGCCGATTCAAGTCTCATCATTAACCTTTATGGAAAGGTGCCATAGGCCTACCGAATCCAAGGTTCATTACTTATCATTAATGGAAGGGTGCCATTAGCCTACCGATCCAAGGATTCAACAATCAACAATATAATCATTTATACAAGAAAAGGATGCACAAGTTCTACCAATTCGAGACATACAATATATATTGAAGAATCTTTCATATCCTATCATCAACATTCATGAGTGTCAAATTGAGAAAAAACCTTTCAATAATAACACATTTATAGTCATAACATGATCTCATTAGCTCCATTGAATTCCCATTCATACAATGTCATGATAACACTTCAATTTCTCATACTATGCCTTCAAGGACATGGTCACAATGTACATAACAAGTAAACACCTCCACCTTTCAAGTGGATCAACCTCAAGTTAACAATTCTAATTCAACAAGTAGCTTCTCATATCTTTTCCTTCAAGGCCATAAACTTCACATACCAATATACCAACAATACACCATAAGGTAAGCATGGTAATGACATACTTCAACAATCTAAAGCCATTTAAACAAGTTCTATTCATATACCCCCACTTCATAAAGGCACAAACTAGGAATAGAGAGAAATTATGGGTTCATAGAGTATTTTCATCTTAAATCACCAATACAACAACAATATAACAACAAGATGCCATTAGAAGCCTTTTAAAACCATTTGGTGAAAGAACCCATGAGATTGAGTAAAACCCTAGGTTTTCATAAACTTGAAATCTTTAAAAGTTTACTTTTAAGTTGACTCTAGGGTGAAAGCTAACCCTAGATGAATGGTCACCATACCTTTGTTAAGACTTCCTAAGAAATTTAATGAAGAAATCCTTGAATCCAAAACCCTAGCTCCCACTCCTTCTTCTACCTTGAGTTAGAGAGAAATATAGAGAGAGAGAACTTTGGGATTTGATTTGGGGAAAAATAATAAGTGAGTGACTTGTTTAAAAAACTTAAAACCTTATATAATTATCATGTAAATCATTTAAAACAACCCCACATAATAAAACAATTAAAATGAAATTACCAAAAACCCCCAACTTGAGGCTACCCGTCAGGGACCACGCCCATCTAAACGGGTCGTGAGGGGCACCACGGCTCGTTGTGGTGCCCGTGATCCTTGAGGTAGTGTGCCTCCCATCCTTGCCAAGCCCTCCAAGACCAAGACAAGTCCACGGAAGCTCCCACGATCCGTGGTTCACACCACGAGTCGTGGTGAAGCTCGTGGTCATGGGGCAGCGCCTAGGCAAAGTTGCCTTGCCTCCCTTGAGCCTAAGTGAACTCCAAGTTCGCTTTCACGGACCGTCTAGGGCACTACGGCTCGTGGTGGTGCCCGTGAACTAAGGGACAGTATCTCCCTCAACTTGCAACATCTCCCACCAAGTTAAGGCAAACCCTACGATCCTTCCCACGGCCCGTGGTCATTACCACGAGTCGTGAAGTGGCTCGTGAAGGGGTGCCTTGGCTTGGCACCAAACTTGAGCATGCTGCCTTGTCACCACGGGTCATGAAGACCCTCGTGGTCTAGGGAGGCAGTAGTTAGGACTAGTTTTAGGTAGCCTAGGTTCCCAAACCATGGCCTACACCTAAAACCCTTAGCACTTGCCCTTAACTCATGACATTAACCCCACAGTAAGGCTCTAGTTTAACCTATCATTTTCCGAGTCTTTACATAATGGTCCTAAGTGTTTGGGGAAAGAACCATAGAAGTTTAGAGGGTTTTACAGATGAAAAACGAAGGAGAAAAATTGGAGTTTGCTGGGCAAGGGGTTGGGGCGCCGCGCCTCTCAGAGCGGTCCACTTCAGAGTCTGAAGTTTGGCCTCTGAGGCGACGCGCCAGCTAGAGCGCCACAACTTCACCTCTGAAGTTTGTGCTCTAGCACCCCACGCCTCTCAGAGCGCCAAGGACACCAGTGCACCCCATCCCTCCCCCATCTTTTCGTACTTGTTCCTAAGCGATGTACCTATGTTTTCTAAGTTGATTCCAACACTCTAAGGTACATTTAAATATAATGAAATCATCCATAAACATGAGATCATGAACCTTGAATCCATAATCCAATTCAAAGGAAAGTTAAGATCAAAGTCAAAGAAGTTAAGAGTCAAGTCTAGAAGTTAAGAAGCAAGTCAAAGAAAAGTTTCTTAAAGTTTTCAAAGAGTCTTTAACAATGTTTTAAATTCATTTTAAGACTCAAGTTTTCAAGTTAAGGAAAGAGTAAAGAGTGGAGTTCATTCCTCCAAAAAGCTATTAGGGAACTAAGTATTCCCAAAGAAGTTTATAAATATTTTCACATTGAGCAAGAAAGGGGAACATCGATTTCAAGAGAGCTTTTAAGCTAAGTTTTGAGCAATTACCTCAATTCAAAGAAAGAGTTTTGTTTTTACAAACATACGAGTTAAGTATATTTTTGGAGTAGTATTGAGCACCGATACGCGGATGCGAGTTCATATTAGCTCAAGTCTCCATAAACCATGTAGTCATCATGGGTAGTAAAGGATCATACTTTTAGATGACACCTTAAGATGCTTTTAGCATAGACTAGTGGATCCACTAAGTTAAACGTTCTATATGACGGCAAAGTATAGGAAAGTTCTGGCAGCGTGGGCAAGACGTTATATCACCACTTAGGCTCATAGTGGTGGTTGTCGGTTAGATAGTCTCCCACAAAAGTTATATTACTTTATATATATATATAT